TTTTATGAGACTCTGTTTGTTTCTCTGAAACAAATGAATATGTTGTAATTTTTAAAAACAAATCACATATTTCATATCGTTATGACATTTGTTTTCTGTTTATTTACTATCATGTAGTTTTTTTATTAAAACAAATTAAAACATGTCAATAACATTCAAGAAGCTATGAAAAAATAGGTAAAGAATTAAGTCATTTTTTATTTGATAAAAATAAAAATAGAAGAGTTATTACGAATAACTAAAAATTCAATCAATTAGTTTAATCTATTTATTACTCCTATGTATGAAAGTATCAGTCTATGTATGAATCTTTTTTGTATATGAAGCTTATTCTTTAATAAACTTTTATGTCTTATTCAAATGATTCTCTTTAATTCACTATTAAATTTAAAGTAATTATTATTCTCTCATTATAACTCTTAATAATTTCTTTAAAAAATAATTAATATTTCATATGCAATTATTCATAACGTTATTGAAACATAATCGTTATTATTTTTTGTTGTTATAAAATCTTCTTTATAATGAGTTGTTTCATTATAAATAATGCAAACCTGAAAAATAAAAAGAAATTCTTTTTCTTTATTCATTTGTTAAAAGACCTTTAATTTATGTTAATACCTAAATAAATATATTTATATTTTTAACAACTTATATTCTTTGGAATTTTTATCATTGTATTTTATTAATTTTAAAAAAATCGCAATATTTATCTATTTAAATTTTTTTTATTATTTATTTATCAATAATAATGCAAAAATTACTATAATATGAAATTATAGAACTGAATAACAAAAGTTTTTTAAAGGTTTATAATTTTTTTTAAATATTATCTCAAACATAAAAAAAATATATTTAAAGTTTTTATTATATACAAATTAAATAATATAGATTTTTTATATTCCTTCTATTCTTTCCTATGTTCTTTTTAGTAACTTATTTTCACACTCTTTAATTTTCTTAAAACTATTAGCATCTTTTAAACTCCTTTGTTTGAAAAGATCATATTTTTGATTGTGTTTTTACTAATCTATTTTATTAACTCGTTTCAATATTAGAGTTGGACTGAAAAATAAAGTTTTACCTTTAAACAATTATATTAATTTTATTACTAGAATGAACCTAAACAAATAGTAATGTCATAACAAAAGTTTGGTATTATTTATTTAAATAAGAAAATCTATGGAATTTATAAGTCTCAATTTTTAGCTACAATTTATAATTTTAAATTGAAGAATGTAGTAAATAATTTAAATCTTATTCCTATTCACCACTCTTTTTTTCAATACATATAGTATATACCTTCTATGTTTCATTAAGATATAAGTTGTTCAAGAAAATTATCAGGTGAAGAAATGATAGGCATATCCAAAATTGAAAATTAGTTCTATAAATATAATTTGTGACTCAATTAAACAGTTATAAATCTCTTTTGGAATATTTTTATAGAAAATGATTAAATATGATTTTTCATATAAAAAACACTATAAATATTCAAATTAAACATTATGTACTATATTTAAATTTTATAAAATTTAATAAAAAATATAAAAATTTCATTTACTAATTTACATGATATTAATATTTACATTTTTTTATTGTGTATTATTTATTCAACGTCTAAATATTTGCCGTTACTAAACTCTTTTTTAGTTTCTTAATTATTTAATTTATATGTAAAGAAACACAATAAATTATAATATAATTTTAGCATCTAAAAAATTTTATTATTTAATCCTTAATGTATTTATTAAATTATTAATACAATAATGTATTAAGAATAATCCATTATAGTACATTTAATAATTATTAAATCTAATCCCACTTTGATACATAATTTTATATTTTTATAATACTAATAGTATAGAAAAGTTTTAATTGTTTCTTATTCAAACAATAGTTATTATTTAAAATTATTGTTATTTTACCCATTTAAACAAAAAAATAATGAGTATAAAATTTGTCAATAAATCATTTCTGTGTTTATTATCAGTTATTATTATTCTACTTTGGATATATTCTAAAAATAAAAAAATAAGAGTATTATTTATCAATCAAAATACTTTGATTTTTTTTAATTAAAAGAATAATCTCATTTTAATTTATTAAATCTAAGTAAATAATAAAACAGGTTATTGTTTTATAATAACAATAAATATTTTTGTTTATACAAGTTAGACTTAATTGTTAATTTGATATTTTATGTCAATATTTTCATTTAATTAAAATCTATGAAAAATGTTTATTATGAAATTTCATTAACATAGAATAGCATGCATTAATTTAATTTTAACAATAAAAAAGCATTTAAGTGTTTTATTAAGAGTTATTCAATTTTATTAAATGTCTTTACCCTTAATTTCTTAAATTTCCACTTTATTATTAAAATGAATGTTTGTAACTTATGAATCTCTTCTTTAACGATTTTCTAGGTGAAACTCTAAAAAAAAACAGAAAGACTAAAAGATTAATTTTATTTGATCCCCAATATGAACATTAAGATACTGTTGAGCATTTCCATTTACAATTGATATTTCAAAGGTTTTATTACTTCCAATTAATCCAACGAGAAAATATCCTTTTTTTGCACCTTCTTCATAAGTACAAACAAAATGAATTGGTTCTCTTTTATTCTGGGTTTGAATGTATTGAATTGAATTGTAATCACCTTCTTGATCAGAAATAATATTTCCAAAATGATCAATAGAGACAATAGTAATAATATTTTTTGTTTTGACTAAAGGAAATTGATATATTTTTTCATTAGACTCTATTCCATTAATTGAACCATTAAAAACAAATCGAGCAGCATTTAATGAAAAGACATCTCTTCCATGAAAAGTTGATGATGCGTTTTGAACATTTAAAACATAAACATGTTCTATTTCTAAGTTACAACGTTGTAATGAATGAGTAAAAATACCATTATTTGGTCCAACTAATGTAATAGTTTTAGTTTTAATTAATACTGCACTTCTATCTCCACCTACTCCTGGATCAACAACAGCAATAAACACTGTGTCATCTGGAAAAAAAGGAATAGCAGTACTTAAAATCCATGAGGCTTGTAATATACTTTGTGGATAAATGTCATGACTAATATCAATAATATTAACTAAACACGGACAATGTTTTGCAATAACTCCTTTCATAATTCCAACATATTCTCCATATCCAAAGTCAGTGAGTAGTGCAATAGTTTTCATTATAATAATTTTATTATTAATTATTTCTAGTTCATTAGAAATTAATTTGTTTAATACCAAACTTCTTTTATTATTCGTATTATCCTTTTATGATTAATTACATATAATTCTTTTAAACCGTTTATTACTTTTTATTATTTTATACACTTTCTAAATTTGTTACATTGTTCTTGTTATAAATACTTAAATACCCATGATTTCTTATTCAGTTTATTTTAAGAGACTATCTTAACCAAACAAAAATTTAGAATATGGAAATGGGTCATCTTCATCAATATAACTCTTTGGAAATGGTTTTGATAATTACCAACGTGAATATGAATGATTCTTCCAAGAATAGTATTTTGACTTATTATTAAGTATTAAGTCAAACAGATAAAGTTCTTTCATCATCAAGAAGGAGGATGTAGTACTAGTAGATTTAATCAAATCATCAATAAATGTAAACAACATAGACTACAATATTCACATAATTGAGAATAATAAGAGACTTCTTGAGATGAGAATGAATATGACAATTCATTAATTTTATGAATAAAATGAAGTAAACATTATTCACACATAAATTCAATTAACAATCAGAACCCCTGTCAATAACACTTGCATCACTTTATGGTCTCCAAAAGAATATTCAACTCTTTCAAATGGAAAGTCTATTTGAGTGATAATGTCTTGAGGATCCATATCCTTAGGTAAATAAAGAATAACGTTTGGACATTTATTAACACAAGTTTGATATAACTGTTGCAACCCATCAAATAACTGATTTAGAGACCGTTTATTTCTACATTTTGTTGGTCCTCCCCAAGGTGGTGCAATCAAAATAACATCAAAATCAGCTTCATCTACTCTTTTAATAAATGTAAAGGCATCTTCATTAACTGTTTTAATTTTATTAGCAACACCATAAATTTGTGCATTGTGTTCAAGTAATTCTAATTTAATTGGATCAAAATCTACAGATGTGACATAACTTCCAGCCACTGCTTGTTGAATAGAATCTCCCCCAACACAACAAAAAAGGTCCAATACTTTTATAGGTTTATTTAAAAAAAATAATCGTTGTTGAACTCTTTGAGCAATATGTTTTGCAATAGATTCAGGGGTTACAGAATACCAAGCCTCTTCATCCATCAAAATACCTTTATCATACAAAGAGAATAATTGATATCGTTGTTTATAATAATGTTGAATACTCATTATGAACCTTCAGAAGATTATTAGTTCTATTATTAAATTAATATAAAACTATACTTATAGTAAAATTAATCAAAAATAGAAGATTATTTAAAATTCTCTCTTTTTTCTTGGTTTATTGTTGTTCAGTCAATGGAAGAGTTTCATTCCCTGCATAAAACATTAACAAAATAACATTTTCATCAGTTCTGTTTTCTCCATAATGAATTTTACCAACTACTTCAATAATAGCCTCTCCTTCAGAAAATACTTGTTCTTTTCCATTTTCAAGAATAACTGTTAATTCTCCTTTAATAATAACACCTGCATTAATAACAAGATGGTGGTGCTTTTCTAAGTGGGTATGAGGTGGGATAATAATTTTCATGACGCTAATTTTTGGTTGACCATCTGGATAACTTGGTAATGAAGTACCATCCCAACTTGTAGTTGATTCAATTAATTTTTCTACTTTTACAGAGCTTGATTGCATTTAATTTAATTTTTTAGTTTTTCTCTAAAGAAAATGAATTAAAAAATCATGAGTCTTTCTTTAAATACTCATTTTATTGTTTCAACTCAAATGAACAAAACAATAAAACTCTGAAAAGTAGTAACTTAACAACAACAACACAAGTTATCACAAAGAAAGTCACAGAAACAATCACAACAACTTGAAAGAAAACTGCACATTTCATCACAAAAACAACAACAATGATCACAATACCATTCACAAAACCTCTCACAACATTCACAGTCATTGCAACAATTGCTACAACACCATTCACAACATGAACTACAACAATTAAAAAATTCGGAACATCCATCAGAAGTACATTCAATACAACACATTTGTCTCATTACATTATAATTTTTTGGGAATAACTTAGGACAACACTGAAACGCCCCTTTAAATCTACACTCAGTAATAAAAACAGTAAGTTGGGTTACTATAATATAAAAACCAAAGACATACCATGCAGGCAAAAATACTAATGAAAATGACCAATCTGCATATCCATCCAATAAAACTGATATCAATATCACAAATATAATTATCCCTGGCATAACTAACCACCATTCAATACAAAATACTGCTGCCATTACAGACTCACTCTCATATTTTAGAGTATCATAGATTTTGAAATGTTTAATAAAACTACTATTACAACCACAGGAACTTGCTTCAACATCACAACAACATTTACAACAATACATAACTGGATACACCATTGCAGCTATAATAATAGGAAGAACACAAAGAGTATAATATCCTTCTATAACTGAAAAACATCTTAACATCACTAAGAAAAAACCAATAAACAATAAAAATGTTGTTGGTCCATACATTAAACATCTCCATCCACTAATAGCACATTTACAATCATCCTTTTGATATGGATTACAATCAATGGTACCAATGCATGGATATAACAAACAGTATATTATAATTGGTATAAGCACATACCCAAAGTTTATAATATCATAACACCATAACATAAATAAAACCCATGAATAAACAATAATGCTAAATTTTGAATGTCTAAAACCACCTTTATTCGACCATAACCATAACTGATTAAAATAATCATAAGCCCCACCATACACTTTAACATCCCGATTTTCATTTACCATATCATTTTTTACAACTGTCATACATCCCCAACACCATAAGAAATGTGGTAAAATACCATAAAAAATAGTTGGGATTAACATTAACCATCCAACAACTTTCATTGAAACATCAATTGATCTATCCGCAGATAATGGACCAATAATCATAGAAATAAAAATAAAAGCTAATGCAACACTTTCAAAAAGAATATTAGAAGAACATCGTCTTTGACATAACTTAGTTTCAAACGTAAACTCTTCATTTCTTTCCCTTTTCTGTTGTAATAACCGTTCACGCTGTATCTTTTCATTCTCCTTTTTATTTTTAATTGAGTCAATACAACTATCAATAGAAGTGTTTGTATCAGCAACACCGCAAACTAAACGAACAACCTCCCCATCTTTTTCAAGTGAATTTAATGTTTTACATGTTGACGTAAAATTTACAAATGAGTCATAATCTAAGTTACTTGCAATCATTCTTAATGTGTCATACGGTAAATGAACAAGACCACCTTCCTGTTGAATTAAAGGTTGAAAAAATTCAGAGTGAACAAGCAATGGTATTTCAACATCGCCAGGGTTAAACTCTAATTCAAGGTCATCTCCCATCAAATTATTTAATTTATGTTTTAAGTTTAATCCTTTAATGTTTTAAATTTTTCTTTCTTTATTACTTTCTTGTTTTTAGAGATAAATATACTTTATTATAACTTTATTACAAATAACTATGTTAAAAAACAAAAAAAAAATATTTATACCTCAATAAGTGAATTATTTGAATAAAGATCCCGTTTCAAAAACCAAAAAGTAAGCCTAAATAAAAGAAGGGAAATAACGAAGAAG